TTGCCCCACCATGACATTTATACAGGTACTTCGCATGAAAAAGTCAATCAGTGTTTCACCAGCTAGTCATAACAAGGAAAACAGGTTTAAGTTATGCGTTTAATTTCTATTTTCAACAACAGAGATCACAAATCAGCTGCTCAGAGGCCACAGCCAGCCTGCAGGTGTGGTTGTTTTGTTTGGCCTGGATAAAGATTATTTTTCATTAGTTGCCAATTTCTGAAAATGGAGAGATGATACATTAAAAATACATAAAAATCCAGATTTCCAGTATTGCTTGAAGTCCTGGAAGATCCGAACTCACATGGCAGCAATTAGCTAGAACTGAGTATTGCTGCATCCTGGCCCATGAGTTCCCCAGTTCCCAAAATCCCCACTGCTCTCTGTTGTCTGACAACCATCCTGGTTCCTTCTTACTCTCTGGAGCACATAAGCTTATGCCCCTGCTCTGCAACAATTTTTAAAAACATATGGGAAATATTTGCAATGCTTTGAATGTTTTCAAAGCAATAGTAAAGCTTGCAGAATCACAACTAAAAAGATACAAGTTTTGAGGAAGGAGAGTTGTGCTCTTAATAAATGAAAATCTTCTTAACTCCTTGTGATGCTGATACTTAGAATGGGCTACACTGTAGGTTTCTAACCAACCACCACCAAGGATATAAAATGTCAACTTAGATATGGTGGGAGTTCAGATTAGAGAACCACTAAAATTACCTTCAACTTAAAGGTATTATGCCTTGGGTTAAGAATATGGGTAGCTCAACACAACACGATACAGTAATAGCTGCATAGATTATAATGTCTTTCTACATATATATAACTTCACTTGCAGAGGAAAACTTGATCATATCTTTCTTCATGAAATGATATTTTCTGTTAACTTTTATAAAGCAGTTTTTCCCACTCCTTTGAATATATACAATTATAAAATTAAATTTCAATTAACTAAGCAGCCACAAACTACAGAAGAACTATTAAACTCTTTTTTATCAAAAAGGTTGGTGCAGAATCCAAGGACAGAAGGAACAAGAACTTGAGAAAGGGCTTAATAGTGGCCTTGGAGCAAAGCTTCTTCACAAAACACCTTTATCAATAAACCAATCATGGCAAGACACCCTTGAAGCTTTTCTCCACCCACTCACCAAATTCTTTTCTTTAAATACACCTATGAAATCTGCCTGTTTGAGATATTTTAACAAGAGGACCAGGATTCTCCTTTTAAAAATCAACTTTATAATACATTTTTATGATTCAATTGATCCCTACACACAGAATATTGTGAGTCAAAGTTTAATTAAAAAGCAGCATGTAACTGTGTTGCTGAAGCTAAGGCAACGTTCAGGTGAAACATAACCTGTGAGTTTCCACACTGGTAACGTGTGACGCACAGCAAACATCCTCCTTGAAGCCGTTCTAGGTGCTTTGCTTCTTAAGGTTAGTCAAATAATCCCAGGCAGCGCCACCCTGCACAGGTGCACGAGCACCACTGCAAGTTCTCCAGGCGGATTTTAAAATGCACCTTTAATTAAAGTTGGATGTGGCAGATATAAACTACTTCCAGACCAAAATGTTTTCCTCTGGTGCCTGATGTTGATTTGTGACATAAGCCTTGTTTAACAATAATGATTAACAGCTCAAGTGTGAGTATAAACAGCCCATCAATGAGTCGATATGACTACTGAGGGCAAGCCTAATGACAGGAAAATGATTGTGTTGACAATGCAATGTGTAGAACATGGGCTGCTTCTGGGAAAACATATGTTTACCATTCTAGTTTTCTGATGCTCTGCAGCTAGTCGTTTTTATTTTCTCTGTGTAGCAAAAAATGAATCATCCTTTAGAAGCAAAAAACAATGATAAATGTAATTCAATTTAACAGCCCTGCATGCCAGAACATTTTAATTTAACCATGGATGTTTTCTGCTTTTACTTATTGTGGCGTCAATGTTAACAGCTTCTTTTCCACTTTCTGTGGCCTTAAAAAAAAAAAAATCCTAAGAAACTCGCTACATTATCACAGAAGGAAAAAAAACTACCAGATATGCTTAAAATCAAGGGTTTTTGAGCCCTGGGAAAGTATCGAGTTCTGACATGGCAGTGTCAGAACTCTTTAAATCAGAACCATCCTTTAAGTAAAGTGCATGAGAAGTTAAAGAACCCTGCTCTTCACCACCAGTGAAAACCTGAAGTGCATTACCCTCCAGGAAGAAAGACGTTCTCTAACTTGTTTGTAAATTTGTTATGAAAGGTTTCCAAACACAAGAGTATTTATTGTCTTTTATAGGCTGTATGTGTTTACACTTGGAAGGGCACAAAGGAGCTAACTCATTCTTGGAAAATGTCTCTTTTAAAGCATGTTTATTTCAAAACAAAACAGTTATTGAAAACATATGCATAAGCCATTCCAATGCAATTGGTCACAGAAACCTGGATTATCAACCGGGTT